TCTTGGGTCTTTGGGCGATAGGGGTAAGGGTCGAAGGCTCGTCGAGAGCCTCGTGCCCGCCCGTGGCCGCGCTCTTGGATCACCACTCGAAAAGAAGACAAGGCCGCAGTCTGTTGAGGTGTTCTCGCTCGCACCCCAGAAGACCAAAGGAGGGGCTTGGATACGAGGGAGGTCACGCAACACAATTTTAGAGGGTAGACAAATATTTTTTTTTGCGCGTAACTTGTGGGTGGAACAGGCGCCATTGCAGCTGCTTTTCAAAATATGTTGTCCGCATTTCGGTAGTTTGTATTGTTTTTTTCTCATAGAAGGGAAATCTATGCGTGCTCTGACGTTTTTTTGGTCGGAAGTTGTCGTCATTTTTCAATAGAATGGGTTGGAGATGTCAAGAGGGGACGAAAGAAAGAGAGACAGTCAAGCATGGGACTACAGCGGTGGGTTTCGCAGCACTCCTGCACACCGCTGTGTGATGGGGGCGGGGCGCGGAGCGCGGGGCGCGGGGTGCCACACGGTATAGACACAAACGGCATGTAGCATAGACACAAGCAAGGAGACTTTTCGACGCGATTGGCTTTGATCTGGACGTCTGGTCCTGATGGGTTTGGAAGGTCTTGCTTGGCATGTGCCGTCGGTTGAAAATTTTCTGTTTCTGCTTTCAAGGGGAGGTTTGATTCGTTTGTGTTTAGAAAGAAACGAAGGCGTTTGCACCTTTTGAGCTTGGCACAGCCTCAGCGAAAGAGGGCCGTCTTGGAGTGTGAGCTGGCCACCCACGCAGCAATAAATATAAAGGCCTTGAACGACTGTGCTAGCCACACGTTACGCTCTTCTCGATTTTTCGTTTTCTTTTGTCCTCCTTTTCGTGTCCCATCGGTGGCCACGCCTGCAGCCCAGGTCTGCGTTGAAAGTATGTATTACTTGTGTTTCGGTTGTAACAGAGCGGGGAACGCGGATTGTACCAGAAGGGAAAGGACGGTAGCAAGGTATAGAGCCGCGGGCTTTTGCTGCTTTTGCTTGATATGCTACACACAATTTTTCCCATCTTTTCGTGCGATAGAGATGTCGGAGTGAGAACGGAGAGGGGGGGGGGTGATATCACAAGCACATCGTATTTTTCCCAGTTTTGTACGCGATGCCACCGAGGGTTCGAGTGGAGATGGGGGGGGG